TGTCTAGATACATAACAAAATGGATGAATCAAAAAAGTCAAAACGACATTTATAATGAATAGGAGGGAGTATATCGAATCATTGGCTGAGATATATATACCAGTAGGGTGAAGTTAGAACTTACAAACTACTCGGACTACAAGAATAAAAATAATATGTAAGAACATAATAGATATACTAGTTATTCTCAAGAATCGTATAATTTTTATTAGAATAACTTGATAAAAATTAACAAAAACAAAATAAAAAAATAGTGTACAGAATTTAGAATTTGGATTTTGTAGGGGGCAGGGAAATAATTAATTTGTAGGGGGAGAAAGTAAATATAACATAAATTATGCCGAGAAAAGAAACAAAATTACATTCTAGAAAAAAAATGATAAATATTAGAGTAACACGACATAAATTACAGGGAAAAGTAAAACTAATTAAAACACAGAAATAATAACAATATATATTAGAGCTGCAAACAAATCGAACGTTCGCGAACAAAAGCTCGTTCGAGCTCGTTCATGTTTGACAAAAGCTTGTCCGTTGTTAATCGAACCGACCGAACAGAAAATGAGGCTCTTTTAACAATCGAACGAACACGAGCTCGTTCGTGAACGTTAGATTATGTTCGCGAACATTAATTTAATAAAATTTTATTTTATTTTTATATATTTACATAATATTTTTAATAAAAAATCTAAAATTTAATATAATTTTATTTATCCTTTATATATTTACATTATATTTTTAATAAAAAATCTAAAATATAAAAAGAATTTTATTTTATTCTTTTATTTTCGAGTTCGAACGACTACGAACGAACAAATTTCAAACATATTTAAAAAGTTAAGTTATGAAATTATTCAAACACGAACGAACTTGAACTTTGACGAACAATTAAACGAACGAGCTTGAACACGATTTTTTGCTCGAAAAATAAACGAACGAACACGAGCACTGTTCGAACGTAAACGAACGAACACGAGCACTGTTCGAACGTAAACGAACACGAGCTCGAACAGCCCAAGCTCGGTTCGGTTCGATTCTTTTACAACACTAATATATACCGACTTTGTTTGGAGATTAACAATAATATACCGACTATGTTTTGGGATTTTTTTTTTCACATACTGGATACAAATTTAGCTTTTGGGTTAACGGTAATGTTTTCCTACCTACGGTGGACACATGTTAATATGCCTACCGCTTATGTGACATGCACTCATTGGTGATGTAATATGTTAAAAAAAAAATACATGACCAATATGTATATGCCACATAAATGGTGGACATATTAATATGTGTCCACCGTGGGTAGAGGAGCATTAGCATTTGTGTTAATAAGCAAGAAACTCTTAAAATTACAAAACAATAATAAGTAAAATGGGCAATAGAACATAAACTAAAAATAGTCAAAATCAATATCTATATAATTTGAGGTTACCAAATTAATGCAAATGGTAAAATTTCTTGGCCAAATTAATTTTTAATTTATTATGGTCAAAATTGTTATATTTTATATTAATTAAGTATAACTATATCTATTATTTATTCTATTATACAATATTTATTATAAAAAACAACTAATTACATAATTTACAATAAATGGTATTGTGTAAGTTACATAATCATTATAAATTATACTGCATTTTTCCCAAGCTATTTATGTTCAAAGTAATATTAATTTTTTAATCATATAATTAATATAATGGCATCAAAAAAATCTTTAAATAATTAATAAAATAATAATAATTAATGTATTTATCAATATTTTTCTAGCTAATTAATTGTCATCATGGTCCTCAAAGTAACAAAAAATCATGTCATGCGTTATTTTTTGTGTAATTACACAAATATAGAGATTTATATGCAGTTGAATAATTTTTATTTGACTTTACTTTACAGATAATTAAATTAAATCGCAACGAGTTATTTAATTTTCTAATGATGATGAAAACCCCATCAAATTTCATATATAGAAGATGATCACTTAAACTTAAATCGCAACGAGTTATGTACATCTCTATGTACATTTATTATGTACTTGCAGTAATTTTGAACTTAAAATTGGTCTATATTATAAATTTAGAGCAACTACCCAATACATAATAAATTGATTGAGCAATTAATGGAAAACAAAAGTGCTTAGTTTATCAATCAATTAAAGTTTAGGCTTAAATATAAATAACAAAAACATTAGGAAAATATTACCGTCTCGTTACGAAACTATCCCATTTGAGTTTTAACCGTAGATTATCTATTTTACACTGATCTCCTTATGTATCTATGATTAAAAACCCCAACAGATGATTTCGTAAGGGGACTCCATTGGAGTTCTTACACTGATTTCCACATGTATAGATGATTAAAAATCTCGACAGAATAATTTCGAAACGAGATAAGATCTCATTAATTGTCTCAATAATTAACCCAATAATGGACATGTTTTGGTTGTAAGGTTAACATCAATTAAACAGCAAATCCAAGTGTACATTTGAATATTATTTTTCCCCTTCACGTTCGCAACTATAAATCCACGTGAATCGCGTCGGAAAATAGTCGAACCAAAATCAAATAATATATTAAATTTAGTTATAAACTCCATTTGAATTATTTGCAATGGCAAACACCGTGGATACCCTCGTGGCCAAGGCACCAATTACATGTGCAGCTGATAAATTCTACGATTTTTTTAAGCTCGACATGAACGATCTCGTCGAAGTGTGTCCGGCAGTCATACGTAACACTCACATTGAGTGAGACCCATTAAAAATAAAAAATCAAGTGGACACTACTCCATGTGAGTGTTATGTACACCTTTATGTACATTTATTATGTACGTATAACATTTTCCATGTACATAATATTGTATATAGGGGCGTATATAACACTCTCATTGAGTGGGACCCACTAAAAATAAAAAAATTAAATGGACCCTCACTCCATGTGAGTGTTATGTACATCTCTAAGTACATTTATTATATACATATAGCATTACTCTTAATTTTATCAAAAAAAAAAAAAAAATATCAATTGCAATGCCACCTTGACCGCCAATTGAATGAGTCTATACATCGTGTTTATTAAGACAAAAAAAACTACATCTAAATCTGATCTGTTTGATACATGGATTTAGGAAAATGGTATAAATACATAATAAATGTACATGAGATGTACATAACACTTGTATTGGAGTAGGGTCCACTTGGTTTTTTATTTTGCTGGGACTACTTAATGTGAGTGTTATGTACACCTGTATGTACAATAGTATGTACCTATATCATTTCTCTTTAAAACGTGCTTAGTTTATTGATCAATTAAAGTTTAGGCTTGAATATAAATAACAAAATATTAGGGAAATACTATGGTCCCGTTACGAACTATTCCGTTTGAGTTTTTTAACAGTAGATTATCTATTTTACACTGATCTCCATATGTATCTATGATTAAAAACCCCGACAGAATGGTTCGTAACGAGACTCTGTTGGAGTTCTTAACCGTAGATTATCTATTTTACACTGATCTCCATATGTATATATGATTAATAAGAATATTTTAATACGCCCCTCACTTGTGAGTCCTTAATAAGAAAGCCTAAGGCCTACTAGAAACAGGCTCCCATAAATGGGTACATGGGGTAAAACGGGTACGTCATCGCACGGTCTCAAATCTCAACAGAACCGACTCTAATACTATGCAAGAAACGGGAGAAAACGGGTACGATCCTACGCATGTGACATGCACCGTAACAGGGAAATCCTAGATGAAGCCCAAGTGAGATTACATCCCAAAATCAATTGGTGGAAGGAGGAGTAGTCATTAGACTTAGAGCACCCACAATGCTTTGAGTCTTTTACAAAAATACCATATGCCATGTAGCAATTAAACTTAGTCTATAATAAAATGTCTCTCAATGCAATTAAAAGTGGACCTAGTCTAGTTGATGTGGTAATAAAAAAAAGAGACCAAGCCCACACTTGAGTCTATTTTAAACTCAAGTACAAACCTGACGAGTCAGTAATTATTTATAATTTTTTTGTTTATGCTTGTTTTAATTGGTTGACGTTTATTCTAAACCTAGTCTTTTATTTTTCCATTGGAAAGGTTTGGATTTATTTTACTTGGGTTATCCATGTCATTAGAACTTAAGTCCAATTATATGCCACATATATAAAATTGAACCCAAAGCATTGTGAGTGCTCTTATAAGTTAGGTCTATTTTCCCTATTTAAACGATGTAGGACAACTCACAAGTAAATATTCCAATAGGTAGAAGTACGTTCGTTTCATGTTTGTTCATTTTTTAAGCTGGCCGACTGTTAACAATCGAAAACCCGACTAAGCTCGAATAACTTAAAACCCGACTAAGCTCGAATAACTTACATCGGTTAGTCAGTACATATTCTTGCTTAATTTTATGTCTATCATTTATTCTTATTTTTTATTATTTGTTTCCTAAATACGAAATACAGGTGGGATTCCAATGACAGTCAAAGTGAAGATAGATGAAATAAGCGATGCGGAAAAATCCATCACATTCACAGTTTTGGAAGGTGATCTTTTGTTACTGTACAAAAGCTTCAAGGCCACGCTCACCACTGGGGAGGGCTTGGCCACGACGACTTTCGCCTTTGAGAAAATGACTATTTTGACCCCACCTCCGGAGCTCTATGTTCCCCTGGTCATCACAATTTGCACCCTTGTGGATGCTTTTCTTCTCGCCAACTAAGAACAAGCTACACTTTATGAGGCCAAGCACATCATCAAATAATAATACATTAATATATAAGTGTCTAAATGTAAGTGCTTGGCTATCGTTTGTTTTAATTGGTAATTTTCTTTTTGGTGTGTTTTAATCAATTTTATAGAACAAAGATGGAGAAATTTATTTTACATCCCATAAATACATGCATTTTTCTTTTACACACCGTTCCATCAATTTTTTTTTTTTTTTCACCCAACTCACGAAATTATATGTGATACAAAAATGACATCCAAATGACCCACATAATTAACAGTTATGCGAGATTTTGTTGTATATATACCAACGTATATATCCACATCGGGCGTACAGTTAATAATTATGCGAAACACATTCACACATTTATTAATCGTATATCCAAATTCACCGCATAATTCTTGATATGCAAAATTAATTTGTATATGTAGTAATCGCATATTGAAATTGATAGGCGCATAGATATGTTAGTGTATATACTGAAAACTTGACTTTGAACATTACTTACATTATTTCTGTTGAGTGATAATAATGTTTGATTAACCAAGTTCTATATTATTTTGTTTTCACTTAGATGAAATGGGTCATTAGCGTATAAACAGAAAATCATTTTATCAGTTACTAGCGAAACAAGAATGATTGGTTCACAACCTAGAAAGAAATGAACAAACCATCAAAACGATTGTAGTGTCAACCGTACAGTTGGTCTTGACATATTAATTTCACTAGTACATTTATGTATTGAACATGATCCCAAAAAAGAGTAGTTCGTTTTATACTGATCGTCGTAAACGAACTAGGCCTCGGTTAATCACCGCGTTCACTTAACCGGTAAAATATAAACATGCATGTGCATGCAATAACTATTAATTTGATTCACCAAAAGTGATATCCATTTTGCTAGGCCAGTAATCTTCGTGTTTTGAGTAATAGTACTGCATGTATGATGTGTTGTTAGAATATTTACGGTCACCGTGTGCGTTAGTTTGATGATGTCCCATATATGAGCTCATGAAGGGTTATTATGTTAAACCCTGCAAGTTGATTAAGATCCAATATAATAATAAAGATTTAAGTGGTGCTAGCTTTGGTTCAAGATGTCAAATAATTCTTATTTGTTAGTAATCGATGGACATTATAATATAAACGTAGGGAGGTAATTCGGGTAATTATTATTGAAGTCTCTAATATAATTTGAGAATGATAACAAAGTGGAATAGTGTTTCGTCAATGGACCGAAACATGATTGAAGTAACTCTTATTGGCCCACAGTTGGGCCCAATGACTTAAAAAACCCACATCATCACCTATTTAGGGTCCCTGCCATGGCCCTATAAATAGACCATTAAGATCATAGATTAAACACAACTCTCATGTCTCACGCATACACATTATGTCCCCCCCCCCATATATCCCGAGCTTTATCTTCATGTTTGTTGCTCCACAGAGACAACCAGAGAGTTCCCGAGGTAACCAAGACCCAGGAGACAGACGCGACCACGTGAGCCGGGAAGACCACCGCGAGCCCGCGTTCCAGCCGTGCGTGACCATCAAGCCCCGACGATTTACCCGAGCACCCAGGCCACCACGATCACGAATAAGCGTGCCCGACGATTCACAGTAGGTGACCAAGCCCGTACACAGCAGCCCGACTTCATCGTGCTCATCCTCCCAGAGACTGCAACCCGCGTGCTGTTGTCCCTGCTCGACCTGACATCCGCGAGCTACTTGCAATAGTGCGATGCCCCCCAGTGACATCTCGACATCCGACGAGACTTAATCCAGTTGCCCAACGGATTTTGATTTCAGAAGATCTCTAGCAGCGGAAATCTACAACGTCTCAGAGCCTACGAATTATAATTCGTAAGATTGAACTTTAAACCTCTAGATCCGGTGCGCGTAGTTTTTGTTTGAATTCGTGACTTGTACATAACGAAATCTTTGCGGTTTCTAACAAATGGTATCTTAGCCCACGGTTAATTCGTTTTGTACAAAGTTCAAAATTTTACGGCTTTATGTGACAACTTGTGTTGAAACACAACATAAATTGGATTACATTCGCATAACTTGGTTTTGCAAAAATTGGTTTAATCCACTGTTATGGACGATGATGTGTTTGATTTTTTGTTGCTTGGGTTTTAAAACCTCAGACATGTCGAGGAATTTTATGGTTGAATGTTTGTGATTATTATTTGCCAAGTGGGATCAAAACATGTAAACCCAACCATGGGTCAAGGATCAAAATATGTAATTTAATTATTGTATTTTCATCGTGATCGTGATCATGTGTGGACGAGCGGGAGATCACCAAGATTATGGACCTCGATGACCCGATTGTCCTCGGGCCTCGACATAGCTCGGCGACTGCCCGTGAGTGAGCGCCGAAGTATGACAACATGCTGCCAGGTGCCCAAAGCGCTAGACTTAGGTGGCTGGAGTGCGCAAGCTACATGTGAAATCCAGCGGGGCATGATCGAATGAGACCCGATCGCGGTGATCAGGTGTTGTTTTCTATGTTTTTGTTGCCATGTTGTGTGCTTTATGTATTTTATTTGTACTATTTTTATTTTATTTTTGATTTTTCTTGGTTCATTTAGTAATTGTACTTTTTGTATCATTTTGGTGTCTTGTGCGTGCCTTTTATTTATCTTTTTATCTTTTACTTTGTAGGAAATATGCACTTTCAGGAGTCGCTGTAAAATAGCCAAAACATCACCAGAAAATCACCGA